AAAACAAGACCCAAGTCAAACCAAATGCAAAAAAGCCACCGCCACTCAACCAATAATAACAATGACAATGGTACCCTTAACTACTATCCTTTCAGAATCAGGCTGAGAAGTAATTGGGGGGCATGGAGTTGTGGTTGAGCTAAATAAAGCTATTTTTGTTCATAACCACTCATGATGATGAGATGGCTGCAAACTAAGCTTGGAAGTCCTAACACGGCCTCTAACAATGTGAGTGCTGTTCGGCCAATACGCTGTCAGCCAATGAAAAAAAAAATTTTTTTTGGAATTATTGTCAATATTTAAAAGCTAAGAAATTTCACATTAAAAGTCAGAATTTTTACTTCTCTTGAAAAAATCAAAAGATCAGGTGCACTGGGCTCTCATTCTTTATATAGCAACAATCAGTGAGAGCCTCCATTTTAGACAGAGCACATGAACCTCAGTCTGGCCGTCCCTACCACACACACCCTATTATCCCCCAGCCCAATGGCAGCTGCCATGTCATCTTGTACTTATGGTCTTTTCACTCACAATAAGAGTAACACAATCACATGGATCAAAAGTCAAAATAATACACAAAGCCATACAGTGAAAGGTTCATTCCTACCTCATCCCCACCCTTGCTAAGTACGAACTTTTGTTAATTTCTTCATTTTTCCTTTTTCCTTACACAAGCTAACACTATATATATATATATCTTTGCCTTGCTTTCTCCACTTAAAATACACCTTTCTTGGGGATTGTTCTAATAGTAGTAGAGAATTTCCTCATTCTTGTTTTATACCTACCTAGTGTCCCAGTGGGTGTTCAGGTCAGTTTATTTAACTAGTCCTATATCGATGGACACGGGTTGTTAAAAGCCCTTTGCTTTTACAAATATTGTGCAGTGAATGACTATGTGCATTAGCCATTCCATAGGTGATAAAGCCTGTTGTGTGGGATAAACTCCCACAAGTGAGCCTGCTGGGTCAGAGGAAAATGTCTTTGTAAATTTTTTAGGCATCAACAAGTTGCCTTCCACATTGGTGGCACCATTTTGACCTCCAGACAGCAACGTAAGAGCATGTCCGTTTCCCTTCAGCTTCCTCGACAGATATGTCATCAAACTTTTGTAGGTTTGTCATTCTGACAAATTCTGACAAACCTACAAAAAATCATTCAGGGCAGCTGTAATTTGCATTTTAAAATCAAGAGCTCTTTTCCCATATGTTTAACAGACATTAGTATTTCTTTTTCTGAGAACTGTCTGTTCCATTTTCCTATTGGATTCCTATTCCTGTTGCTGATTTTCCTATTCTTTTTTTTTTTCTTATCAACTTCTATGCAAAGTATATGTATTCAAGAGATTAGCCCTATGTCTATGACAAGAGCTGCAAATATTTTTTCAAGTATGTCATTTATCTTTTGCCTTTGTTTGTGGTGTTTTTGTTGTTGTTTGCCATATAGAAATTTTGTTGTTTGTACTTTTTAAGTGTAGTTAAGTTTCTTTATTGCTTCTGGCTTTTGAGTTATAGTTTGAAAGAAGGATCTTCTCCATTTCAAGATTAAAAATGAAGTTACTTATATTTTCCTCTAATAATTTTAGAGTTTCATTTTTTAAAAATGTACGTCTTTTTAAAAATTTTTTTAAAAATTTTTATTAGTTTCACTTATACAGTACATTGGTTAGACATCTATATAGTTAGTAAAATGATCTCCCCAATTTCTCCCTCCCTCCCCTGACCCTCCACCTAGCCAAGGTATTAATGCTAATGGTATTCCTTATGCCGTGCTTCCCATCCCTGTGACCATCTATCAGCTACTAATTTGTAAAAGTGTACATCTTTGATCCATTCACAGCTTGCTAAGTCAGACCTCCTGAGAAGCAAAACCTTTTATCTACTGGGCAGGATGATAAAGCTACCAGGACATAGATAAGGGTGAGACCTGGAGAATGGGATGAGACAGCAGCTGATGGGAGAAGTGAGAGGGGGCTGGGGCAAGGTGGAGACTGAACAGAAGCAGCACCTCCTGCAGGCGTTTCTGGCAGAGAGATTCCTATTACTGGTCTAGCTTGGTGGTTCCCAGGTCCCCTTTTATTATTTTTCTCCAAAATACTTACTTACTTTTAAAGATTTAATATGTTTGGCTGTACCAAACTAAATGTACTTAAGTAATAATCAGTTATTTTGCCCTTTTAACAAAGTCATTTACAGCTGCCAATGAGTCTCTGGTCAGAACATGCTAGGTAGAACTATCATGCTGAGTTGATGTACTTTCAGCCAAAAATGCAGAACTTGGAAGTACCTGTTAGCATGAGGAGGTTCATCATGGATAAATGAGTCATTTTGGAAGAACTTTTAAAATGTTGACGTTATTCTGTGTACAGCTTATTTCTTTGTTCCTAGATCTCTAAGGACATGGGAACTCAATAAGGGGACCTCTGATGTCACCTTCATTAAAGACCTACTGGCATATAAAAGGGCAGGGGAAGGTGTAGACTTCGACCATAAGAAGTGTGCACACAGACCATCATGCTATATACTGAAAAGGTCCCACAGCAACTTTTCTACTTAGAGGTGCCTCAGGAAAGTTCTCTTTAAAAAATTGTTTCCTTATGTGTATAATTCTCTATTCTGAGAAAAACAGTAAAGGTGAGAAAAATTTGCAAAGGTGAATGGTGAGAATGTTGTTTAAAAAAAAAGTAAAAGGCTCCTCCTCCTCCACACCTCTTCTATAGGAAAACTGGTTCTGCCTGAAGCAGAGGCCTCAAGGGGGACCCAGTGAGAATGAGATGCTTAAGGCATCTCACTGTTATCGAGAAGGCATGCCAATGTCCTTCCTGCTAGTGAGTGGGCAACCCTCTCCCCGACCCCAATTAGCAAACTCCCCTAACAATTAATTCAAAATCTCTGAAGGTGGAATGTAGGCATCGGTCATGTTTAAAGCTCCCCATATGATTTCAGTGTGCAACCAGTGCTCTAGAACCAGGTACTTAAAGTGCAGTCCTCAGACCAGCAGCCTAAGTGTCAGTGGGAACTTGTTAGAAAGGCAGAATCTCAGGTCACTACTTAATCCTTCTAAATTAGAATCAGCATTTTAACAAGACCCTTAAGATATTCATGTGCACATGAAAGTTAATGAAGCAGTGGTCTAGAGTAGCATTTCTTAAAGAGTGGTACCTGGACCACTTGCATCAAACTCACCAAGGGCGTGGGAGGGTGGGGAAATGGGGGTCAGGGGACCTTTTAAGAAAGCTAATTCTGGAGATTACATTTCTCTAAGTCTGAGGGTGGGCCCCTGGAATCTGCATTTTTAATGTGCTCCCAGGTGAACTCTAAGCTTATTGTTTGGGAACTATTCCCAAGAGGAAAGCCAGCAATATGACAGTTGCTTTCCCTGGCCTGCACAGAAATTCCCTCATTGACTCTAAGATGTCAAAGCATACCCACTGCACGTGGGAGATGACTTGGTGATAGTCTACACATGCTTCTCAACCTGACAAACGTGATGTTTCTTCTCTCTGACTTATAATAGAGCAAGCGGTGGTAGTTAAATCTAGCTTTCAGATGAATACAGAAATGAGTCTCTCCATCTTTTGGGTTAGTGACTGAACAGGCTGCAGTTTGGTTACATAAGCCTCTATCTTAAAAGCAGGATTAAAAATATAAACTGTTGATGCTCAGATGCATCCTTCTTGGAGGGTTTCAGAGACCCTCAAAATGCACAGTAGAAAGACAAGAGAAAAGGCAAAGTCCCCTTTATTTTACAGAGGTCTATTTTTTGAAATATTTGCTTGGGCCCAGATATTTAAGTGTTTATGGGTAAAAAAAAAAATGAAGCCAGGAATGGAAAATTTGATCTCTTTCAAAACATGTTTTTGCAGTGTGTAGCACTTCCATGTAGTTTTAAAAGCATTTTAGCTCACGTATTTAAAAGCTTCTATTATAACAGAAGTTTTAAGTGGATTTATCTTCAAATACCTAGGATTCTGAAGTATTCCTCACACTTGACTTGAGGTGACAGAACTGAAATCTTTGTAATTATAAAGTGAAATAGGACCATTGTGGTTTTAATGGATAATAAAATGGAATGGGGAACTGCAATATGATCTAAATGTGATTGTTAGATAATAACTGAGTTAAAATCAGCAAAAGCAAACTTCGAACAGGAAAAAAAATATTTTTGAGGCTTTGTTTTAAAGACTTTCTTTAGAGCAGTGTTTCTTAAACCTTTTTGGGAAGTGCAATGGAGCCCCAGTGACAATCTAATGAACTACTGCCACCTCTCCCTTGATGCTTCCACTCAGAAGCGCACACACTGTCAACTTCTGGAGCTAGGTAGACTTTCTGGAGCCCATATTAGAACCTCAGCTTTGACACTGAATTTTTTTAAAAAAATTGCTCTATACTGATCTCTCCCATTTGAAACCGCTTTAGGCCTAGGAGCACCTTTCTCAACATCAAGGTCCCAGGTGGTTGGTAAAATGAGGGCTGATTGTTCTCATTTAAACTGAGACAATTAGGTCAGTAATCTCGTGGGGCTGGGCTGAGGCCAGGTGAAAACCGGACCACTAGATTATGCCAGGGAAAGAACCCCTTTATTGAAGAAGCCTGCGCTTTTTCAGAAATGTCGCCTCCGTGCTTTCGGGGACGCAACGAGTTGTACAGGCAGAGCCCTAGGGTCGCTGCGGCTCCCTTCACGTCGGAAAGTGAAAATTTTGGTCTAAAGTTAGGAAGGAAAGTAAACTCTTAAAAACACTGCCTGCATCCTCATTTTCCTGCAGACTTAACGACGTCAGAGGTGAAAGACTTGCCCCTTCGCCCCTCTCCCATTTAACTGATAAGGACGCTGACCCCAGACGGCTAAGGTGCTTGCCAAGGTGACATCCCCGGGGCTCTCTCTCCACAGCACCTTGCCATCTGGCCAGGGGAGGAGAGGGCGTCTGGGGCTCTTCCCCCACACTACTCGCCTCCCACCTTGGCTGGCAGGGACGCCACGGGGAGCCGAGCCCTGCCTACCGGCACCATGGAGTAGGTCATCATCATCAGCATGTCGTGGCTCTCTCCGCGGATGTGCGGCGCAGTCTCCCCGCTGTGGCTGCGCTTATTGCGCGCAGCGCCGGCGGGGTCCGGGGGTGGGGCGGGCGCCCGGCGCGGCGCGTGGCTCAGCTCCGCCAGGAAGGCGCGCAGGGCGCTGTCCTCGCGCTGCTCCCTGCCCCGCTGCGCCTCCAGCGCCCTCAGCGCCGCGCTCAGCCCGCGCCACTGGCACAGCGCAAACACCGTGCCTGCGGCATTGAGCGCTGAGAGCACCGCCACCGCAACTAGGGCGCCGCGCAGTCCCCAGCCCACGCCTCCAAAGCCTCGCTCCGCGCTTTGGGCCATGTTCTACGCTCCTCCAGCCGGCGGGCAAGGTTGGGTTGCCTTCCGCTGGGGCAGCCTTTATATGCCGCGGGCAAGCCGTGGGCTGGTGGCAGCACTGTGAGTCACGCCGCCTTTTGGCCCGGCTGGCGGGGCGGGTTGGGGACAGTAGCAGTGGCGCCCGAGCAGCCCAAAGGGACAGGCGGGAGGAGATGGGGAGAGGAGCGAGGAGAGACAGCTCGCGGTGTAGGGGCACGCAGGGCTCACAGTCCCGGTGCCCCGCCAAACAAACCCGCAGATCCGCAAACCCGCCTCTCCTTTTCCTGCTGCTCTGCCCTTGGGCATTGCAATGGCTCAGACGGGCAGACGAGGGTCAGACTGAGGGGGAGAGAAGGAATTCTTATGGCCTGAGAAGTCGCTGGATTCCTGCCCCTGTGCCCTCTACACTGCCCTCTTTAAAGAAAAGGATCGGCATGCCCAGATGCCAAGGCACGTGCCCACTGTCCCTGGAAGGTCTGCTGTTGGGCCAGGTCCCAGGCTGCCCATCACTCCTCTCCATGATCATAAGGCCCTACATAGCCACTGAAGACCCCACTCGATCATTCCCGGGAAGGGGATGGATAGAGAGAGCAAAACAGTTGACATTGGAAGGTCACTGGTCAGAACCAGAAAAGCCTCCCTGCCTGGCAAACACGAGTTACCTGTGAAGAGAGATTTCCAGGATTTGACAGGCCAAGAACTCTTCCGTGGGACCCATGCCCGAGGAGCTGCAGGGTAATGGGAGAAAATTTTGAATAGAAATCAGGAGACCTGATTATAACCTCATTCTGCCAGTAACCAGCTGGGGGCCTTTGAGCATGTCCCAAGACACTTCTGGACTGATTCCAAGGTGCTTTCTGGCTGAAGGGTTGGAACTCTAGCCAGACCCCTTCTGGACCTTAGCCTGCCTTGCTTGAGGCGGGCAGATGCCTCATGCCTCCTAGTTACCCCTTCACAACACTCTCCCTTTTCTGTCAGCTCAGCTGCCTGCTATACCTCAATAGTCACTGTCCCACAAATGCAGAGTCACTTCTCAGCCTCTTACTCCCTGACTTTTTCAGCTTTCCCCAGGGAATGACCCCTGCCTCCCAAGAGCCCCAATTATGGCTAGAGGGAAGGGAGGTGATACAGACAACTTTATCCAGTTCTCCCAACTTTAACATAATGTGACTTATTTGAAGAATTGTCATGTACCCTTATCTCTTTTCGTTCAGATTTAAGATGACAATTGTCAGGCTTAGGACTAATGGTGAGAAAGAAGACAGGGACGCGGTCAGCCCATAGTTAAGATCTTCATTCAATTCACTAAAAACTTACTGAGCACTTACTGTGTGTTGAGCACAGTGGTGGGCACTGGAGATATAGAAATGAACAAGACAAGCAGCTTGTAGTGGAGTCCCATGGGGTCTCCTGAGCTTCTCTTTATCTTAATATTCATTATAGCTACTGTTTCCTGACCATCTGTCACTAATATCCACATCAACAACAAAATATACAGCTCTGGAGGTTAAGGGGGTCACATTTGATTTGATCCTGTCTCAACATCCAGCACAGTTCCTGGCTTAAAATGGCCATTCAATAATTACCTGTTGAATGGACAAATAGATGAATGATAAGTTGTACAATGAGGGCATTTCTATGTGAAACACTGTGTGTGTAGCGGTGGTTGGGTTTAGGAATGGAATTCTGCTTATGCCACAGACCTGGTCCCACCTTTCTTGGAAGGCTACCTGTCTACTGATTGGGAGAGTAAGTGTAGACTGGCACACATACCCCGACCTCCTCTGGTGCAGAGCCCAGGGCCCGTAAAAGGAATGGAGTTCTGGTTCCACTTGGAACCAGCCAGGCTTTATCTGACAACCTCAGGCCAAGATAGTGCCCCTTTTGGGATGTAGGACTCCAAAGGCTTGTGGCATGGACAATATGCTAGATGAGCAGAGTGCCTGAGATATTGAATTGGGGCCAAGAAAGGGGCAGAAAGGGGGCAAACCTGACCCTTTTCCACCCAACCCCTCTCCCAGATCCCTCTCCAAGTCTTTCTCTGTGGGAATATAGTATTTTACAAGGAAGGAGAAGGTAGGCATGTTGCTATGACTTACGATGCAGATTATTTTCACTCATCCCTCACTCCAAAATGGCTGTATCTAAGCGGCTGGCCTTTCTCTGTTCTCTTTCCTCTTTTTCCTCTGTCCTCTCTCTCCACCCTCCTTCCACCACACATCGACCTTTCTCCTTCTCTGGCCTATCTCAGGGTTGCCCCTGTTTAAGGTCTAGCCCAGAGCCCCCTTCCTCATCAAGCCTTGCCTTCATGCCAGCCTCCAGCTCTCCTACCTGAACTCTGCAAACCCCAGGGACTTAGAGGTTATGAGCATAAGCTTTAGAATCAGAGACACATGAGCTTGAAATCACTTTTTAACTTTGTGGTTTGGGGCACATTGCTCAGCTTCTCTACGGAGACTATAGTTTTATCTATCTCATAGGGTTGTGAAAATTCAACGCGAAAATCCATGTAAAGCACTTGACATGTAATAAATGCTCAATGAACCTTATTGCTATTGGCTATGGGCTGTCTGAACTTGCTGACACCCATATAACGCCTTTTGCTCTACGTTCTTAAGCTCTTCCAGATCTTAGTTCTTTAGTTGGGACATAGTGACCTTAAGGAAAGGGACCTCTCATCACTGTGTCCCTCACAGCAGGGGCTTGTGCCAACTAGGAATATTTAATCAACCAACTGATTAGCTAATAGTATTTTGTTGATGCATAGTAAACTTGGCTTGTTATCTGAATACAGTGGCTTTAAATTTGGTTATGTGGGATCTTTTAATCTCTAGCGTTTTAAGCCTCCCACCACTTCTCAAGAGGCGAATACTAGGCTGCCCTACCTAGTATTTCTCAGGATGGGCTGGTACTTTCTACTTATTACTAAAAAAAAGTTTGCTATTAATCTGGCCTGTTTTGTTGATATAGTTGGTTGAAGATACAGTGAGAACATGGAGAGATATCTGTGTTTCCTTTTCTGGAGACCAAAGAAGCCAAGAACATTGTATACCATCATTACAATGGGAAGTAGTTTTTCCATTAAAAGGCAGATGCTCCATTTCCAAAGGTTAAATGGGAAGGTCCTTAAAAATGATTCCAGCTAGTTAACTTTATAGCCATGGAGAATGAAATTCAATTCAGAATATACTCCAACTTTAATTCCACAGCATTTCCTCCTGATTGTGAAGTGAAAAATTTTCATTTACTGTAAGGCCTGGCACTTGGGTATTTTGGTCCTCTGTGATGAGGTTGGCAGCTATGCTGTGACTTCAGATTGTGCTTTGCTGCCTCCCAATCCCCCACCCCTCCGCCTCCCCCTGACACACTTTCTCCTTGCCAGTGATTAGGGGGAAAATCTCTCTAATAGTTGCCACCATGTACAACTCCCACACGACCATCTCTGGTTTTAACGCCTCATTTCTACATTTTAAACCCAAGAAACTTTAAGCCACTCAACTAAGTCGGCAATTTTCTCTTTCCTTTGTTCACTCACTCACTCATTCATTCATCCATCCATTCATTTATCCATTTATTCAACAAATTGAGTGCTTACTATCTGCCAGGAACTGTGCTAGGGCTAGGCATAGAATGGAGAGTATAGAACTAGACGCCATTCTTGTCTAAGTGGGGAGACAGATATTAACGAAGTAATCACAGACATGAGGAAATAATTCCAAATGAGACAATGAGATAAATGCCCTGATAAAAAGGAGTGTGATTTTGTGAGATCACATCACTGAGGAACCTGCCCTGGATGTGGGGTGTGGTGTAAATGAGTGCTTCCCTGAGGAGCTGAGGGTGCTTGAGCTGGAAGAAAATAAGGATTCATTAACTAGGTGGAGGTGTGGGTGGGAGAGTCAGAGGGGACAGCATGTGACAGAAGGCCTTGTGGCAGAAGATATCATGGCTTATTTGAGAAAACCATTAGAAAGCCAGTGTGGCTACAGCATAGAGAGAATGGGGAGCGAGGAGAAGGGAATGAAATGAGGCCGGAGACTGAGTTAGAGGACAGACTCTGTAGGTGGGACCTCATGGGTTTGGGGTCTTTATTGTAAGGGCAATGGGAATCCGGTGAGGGATTTTAACTGGCGAGAGGTAGGGAGAGGCTCGGTTGGTGGATGACAGATTTTCATTTTCAAAGATTACCTTTTTTTTATTGCCAAGATTTGCAGTGGTTTCTGTCTCTATAGAAACTATGTATGGCCTCTGACCTCCACCAGACTAAATTTCAGCCTTTATTTATTTGTTTGTTTGTTTGTTTGTTTACATTTTTCAGTTACACTTGACATTCAATATTGTTTTATATTAGTTTCAGGTATACAGCATAGCGGTTAGACATTTATATAATTTACAAAGTAATCCCCCCAATAAGTCTAGTACCCACCTGACACCATGCACATTTATTACAATATTATTGACTATATTCCCTATGCTGTACTTTACATCCCCATGACTATTTTGTAACTGCCAATGTGTACTTCTTAATCCCTTTCCCTTTTTCACCCAGTACCCCAACTTCACTTTCCATCTGGCAACCATCAGTTTGTTCCCTGTACCTATGAATATGTTTTGTTTATTTTGTTCTTTAGATTCCACATCATAGTGAAATCATATTGTTGTCTTTCACTGCCTGACTTATTTTACTTAGCATAATACCTTCTAGGTCCATCCATATTGTTGCAAATGGTAAGATTTCATTCTTTGTATAGCCGAGTAATATTCCATTGTGTATACGTGCCACCTCTTCTTTATCCAGTCATCTATTGATGGGCACTTATGTTGCTTCTATATCTTGGCTAGTGTAAATAGTGCTGCAATGAACATGGAACATGGGAGTTCATATGTCTTTTTGAATTCGTGTTTTGGATTTCTTTGGATAAATACTCAGAAGTGAAATTGCTGGGTCATAAAGTAGTTCTACATTTAATTTTTTAATGTTTTGA